GTTAGAGACCAAAAATGGCCACCTATTAAAACATTGCCTTTGCCTAAAATTAAGGTGCATTTCCACCCATAGGGAATAAATATGTAGTGACGTCATCTGGTGGAATACACCATATAATGCAAATATAATGCTTTTGCTTCAAAATGAAAGGATGTTTGTGCAAAAATTCATGTTTCATGTATTTACTGACAGCCTCAGATTTTAAACAACGTTTTAATAATGGGGTTTCAATGGGCCATTTTTGGTCTTTATGGTGCTGAGTGTTACTATTTGATCTACACAGTGTGTGTTATACATATTTTGCAAAATGGGATCACATTTTTTACATGTATCCAAAAAGTCACAATTTTGCCAAATTTCATACCATTTGCATTAAAACAGCCAAAATGGTCAAAGAAATTAAACTGCAAATGACCAAAAATGTCCCTAATGCAGCATAAGGGTTAATAAAGACAGATTGAAAACGTCGTTTGTATACAGATGGTTAAATCCCCCCAAAACTGATCAAAGTTGTTTTTTTAAATTTATTTCAGCAGCATCAGTTTTGTTTCACAGAGGATAAAATATTAATCCTCTTAAGATGAAGCGTTATAGTTGCAGAGGGGTGCTCCCTTCTGTTGCTTTTGATGTTTCTGTTTGTCTCAGATATTTAGAAAATGAAATGTTCTCTGTTGTAAAGGACATTTGGACATCAAGTACAAACTGCAGCACAACAGAGAGGCGGAGGCTTTCCGAGCCAGCGCCAGGAATCTGGCCAACGGGCAACTCCACAGAGTGAGCGTCCAGAGACTCGCAGACACGCTCAGTGTTCAGGTACTGTGGCCCGTTCGGGAAACTCCATCTCTCTGCATTTCTCATCAAACTGGGATGGGGTTAAATGCACCAAAGGGACATGCTGGCTGTTTTTTTTAACATACACAGATTAACAGAATCTGTAGTGGGAAATCATCCCCAAAACTTAAAACTTTTCATTATTTTTATTCATGCACTGGTCAAATTTGAGTTATTTGGGTTATTTAGCTTCCATATCAGTAGGGGAGGGATAAAATCTATTTGCATCTCTAGATTTCAATTACAACATACACTCACCTAAAGGATTATTATGCCGAGTTCCAGGTGTTTTTCCAACCGTATACCCGTAAAAGTGCACTGGAACGGCAGTCAAACTCGTGACTTCCCACCCGTGAACTCGTACTAGATCGATGTACTCGCAATTACGACTTCTGACGTCACATAGCCCACGAACCAATAACAGCCCCTACTGATGCAGTGTTTCTGCAGGCGGTACACGGTGAGAATACACTTTAGGACAATATAACGTCAACTAGTTTTCAGTCCATTGAGTGCAAGGATAAATATATACCAAATACATTTCCAAATATAGAGTATAAAGAGTATAACAGCTTATCTTGCCTCATTCGCTATTTTTCCTCCTCAGTTTCCCACAAATAAACAAGGAGTAAGCACCTTTGGCGTTAGAAAATATTTCAAACGCGTGTGAGCCCCGTAAGGTCCGCCATGCTGGTTTGTTTACATCTAGGTGGTTTGGCGTGAATGACCTGGAATGCTACAAAGTCGTAAGTCGTGGTTTGAAGTTGTGATTTACGTGTTCAAAAACCTGCCTGGAACGCAGCATTAGGAACACCATACTAAAACTGTGTTTGACCCCCTTTCGCCTTCAGAACTGCCTTAATTCTACGTGTCATTGGTTCAACAAGGTGCTGAAAGCATTCTTTTTGTTGACCCATATTGATAGGATAGCATCTTGCAGTTGATGGATATTTGTGGGACGCACATCCAGGGCACGAAGCTCCCGTTCCACCACATCCCAAAGATGCTCTATTGGGTTGAGAGCTGGTGACTGTGGCGGCCATTTTACTACAGTCAACTCATTGACATGTTCAAAAAACCAATTTGAAATGATTGGAGCTTTGTGATATGGTGCATTATCCTGCTGGAAGTAGCCATCAGAGGATGGGGACATGGTGGCCATAAAGGGATGGACATGGTCAGGAACAATGCTCAGGTAGGCTGTGGCATTTAAACGATGCCCGATCGGCACTAAGGGACCTAAAGTGTGTCAAGAAAACATCCCCACACCATTACACCACCACCACCAGCTGCACAGTGGGAACAAGGCATGATGGATCCATGTTCTCATTCTGTTTACGCCAAATTCTGACTCTACCATCTGAATGTCTCAACAGAAATCGAGACTCATCAGACCAGGCAACATTTTTCCAGTCTTCAACTGTCCAATTTTGGTGAGCTCTTGCAAATTGTCGCCTCTTTTTTCCTATTTTAGTGAGGAGATGAGTGGTACCCGGTGGGGTCTCTTTGCTGTTTGTAGCCATCCGCCTCAAGGTTGTGTGTGTGTGGCTTCACAAATGCTTTGCTGCATACCTCGGTTGTAACGAGTAGTTATTTCAGTCAAAGTTTGCTCTTCTATCAGCTTGAATCAGTCGGCCCATTCTCCTCTACCTCTCGCATCAACAAGGCATTTTGGCCCACAGGACTGCCGCATACTGGATGTTTTTCCCTTTTCACACCATTCTTTGTAAACCCTAGAAATGGTTGTGTGTGAAAATCCCAGTAACTGAGCAGATTGTGAAATACTCAGACACCAACAACCATGCCACGCTCAAAACTGCTTAAATCACCTTTCTTTCCCATTCTGACATTCAGTTTGGAGTTCAGGAGATTGTCTTGACCAGGACCACACCCCTAAATGCATTGAAGCAACTGCCATGTGATTGGTTGATTAGATAATTGCATTAATAAGAAATTGAACAGGTGTTCCTAATAATCCTTTAGGTGAGTGTATATCTTCAAAGGTCATTTTCTCAAAATGAGCCAGAAATTATTAGCTGTTCCATGTGAGCAGAGACAAGGAAGAGAGAGAGAATCCAGTTGCAAGCACTAGTTTATTTGAGAAACAGATAATCCAGTCCAAGAGCAAGAGAATAATCCATACAGAAGACAGGGGAGCAACAACAGGAACACACATAGTGAACCAATCACAGGAAGTGAACAAAGAATACACTTCAACATAAAAGTCCACCAAAGCACAAGACACAGTACAGGGATTGTGACAGTAGCACTTAGCACATACTCCACATTTTACACTTTACAATCTGTTTTTTGAAGGTTTTTAATGAGGTTTGTTCATATATCATTCGCCTGATTTATAAAACATTTTATTCCTAAAAAACGTTTCTCGCTGTTGACAGTATTTTTATGATTTATGGTGTGTTTCCAAAATCAATGTTCAGATTTATGTTCTGAGAATGTATGCAAATTAGTGCATATTTATTTGGATTATGGATCATTTAAACAAAACTTTTCAGAAAAAAATACCTTAATGTACTTCGATTAATCGTGTGGGAAGTGTATGAAAAGAAATGTCTGTAAATAAGTTTATAATATCCCAGAATATCTATTTCTGAAAGGATACCATATCCATCTAGATATTAAACAGTAATGTATATATTGATTAATTGAGTCTGAAATGGAGGACTTGATGACATGGAGGATTAGACACCGCATGCGTGACACGTGCTGCTCAATACCAGTCAATGCAGGTCGTGGCGGGAGCGCGGATCTGTCCGTGACCTCAGCACTTAGTCTGAACCGTCGCAATAATCACACTTTAAATGCACACATCCTCCTCTTTTGAATCAGCCAGCAGTTTTGTGTTTTATTGTTGCTTTGAAGAGCCGTTTAAATTCAAACGCTTCCAGATGAATATGACCTTGCTATTAATAAACATGATGCGGAAAATGGTTTTACTCCATGCACAAACAATTTTAACTGTGGCTTGTTGCATCTTTTACAGGTCGATCAGCATGCAAAAGAAGATTTCAATCTAACATCAGACATTGAATTCAACGCCATCAAATCTATTGTCATCGGAAAAGTGCTCGGTGAGTAAAATCACTGTCAACGGTCACCTGGAATATTAGGGGATTTTGAAAAATATGATTTTTAGGACTGGAAAAGTGTATGATTTTGACACTGTACGGTTTTGGCCTTTCTAATTTTTTCGGCAATGTTGCAAATCCTAAAAGATTCCTCTGATCCTGTAAGTGGCTATTATATTATATTATATTCCTGTTAGAGGTATTCTAGCCATCATATATGATGAAATGTCTGGAGGAAGCAGAGGCATCAGGAGTGTGTTTGTTCGGTCAGGCGAACTCTTCAGCCTGTGTGTGTGAATAGAGTATGCTTTGTCCTATTTACTTCAGATAAGACTAATATTGACTCGACTTGTTATTATTGTCGTGTGTGGAGGACGAGAAATAGGTCAGGCTGATTTTTTTATCTCTATAAATAGGACCTGAAGCACACAACTTTCTAGTCATAAAACCCAAATAGATGAATAAAACATTTAGTTAATAAATAATACAGCAGTTTAAAAATATGAAGCTTGCAGCCTGACTCTCATAAAGATAATTTACATTAAAATAAAAAAACTATTAGGTACGGTAAAAAAAAATCTGTAAAAAAAATACATAGCATTTCGAGATTAAAATATTCAAGATTAAAGTCGAAAAATTCAGAGATTAAAGTAAAAAAATTCTGAGATTAAAGTCGAAACATTCCGAGATTAAAGTTGAAACGTTCCGAGATTAAAGTAGAAATTTTTCGAGATTAAAGTCGAAAAATCCAGAGATTAAAGTTGAAAAATTCCGAGATTAAAGTAAAAAAATTCCGAGAATAAAGTCGAAACATTCCGAGATTAAAGTCGAAAAATTCAGAGATTAAAGTAAAAAAATTCAGAGATTAAAGTCGAAACATTCCGAGATTAAAGTAAAAAAATTCTGACTATTAAGTCAAAACATTCAAAGATTAAAGTTGAAACATTCCGAGAATAAAGTCAAAAATTTTAGAGATTATAGTCAGAAAATTCTGATATTAAAGTAAAACAATTCAGAGAATAAAGTTGAAACAATCCGAGATTAAAGTTGAAAATTTTCGAGATTAAAGTCGAAAATTTTCGAGATTAAAGTCGAAAATTTTCTAGGTTAAAGTCGAAACATTTCGAGAGATGAGAGTACGAGAATACAGTCTTCCGTAGAAGCTGCGTGTGTCCTTGCCATTGCCTCACATTGCTGCACACACAGGCATTCATAATGGCGTGTTTCACACTGTGTGTGTGTGTGTGTGTGTGTGTGTGTTTGTTTTACCAAAGAAAATTCAACAGGTGCCAATCTACCAGCATTCAGCTACCTAGACAAGCACGAAAACACCTCAAAAACATGTCCACTACCACCTGTGTAGAATTTAGTTGAAAGCCCAGATAAAAGTAAGCTTCTATTTTGTGTTGATCCATGGCAGTTTGACTTCCCAAGTGCATTTATTTACACACACACACACACACACACACACACACGGACGCACATTGAGCTAGTGCGCACTCTGAGCTATCGCGCACTGTTATGAATGCACACTTCTATTATCTTAACGTTTTAACTTTATTCTCGAAACGTTTCGACTTTAATCTCGAAACATTTCGACATTAATCTAAATTTTTTTCGACTTTAATCTCGAAATATTTCGACTTTAATCTTGAAACATTTTGACTTTAATCTCAAAACATTTCGACTTTAATCTCAAATTATTTCGACTTTAATCTTGAAACATTTTGACTTTAATCTTGAAACATTTCGACTTTAATCGAAATGTTTTGAGATTGAAGTCGAAATATTTCGAGGTTAAAGTCAAAACGTTTCGAGAATAAAGTCGAAATATTTCGAGATTAAAGTCGAAATATTTCGACTTTATTCTCGAAACGTTTTGACTTTAACCTCGAAATATTTCGACTTCAATCTCAAAACATTTCGACTTTAATCTCAAAATATTTTGACTTTAATCTTGAAACATTTCTACTTTAATCTTGAAATGCTAGATTTTTTTGCAGATTTTTTTTTTACGTTGCGGTTCAGGGCTTCTGTAATTAGGAACTTAAGGACTTTTTTTTTGCATTGTGAAATTATTCTCATGACACTTTAGTAGCATAAATTATATTTAATGTTTTTATTTAAATACTGCATTGTAGTATTTGTTAACCCTGCCTTTATTTTTGCTGATTTTATTAAAACATTTTTGTTCATCATTTTTGTTCATCATTTTTGTACATCATAATGGTAAAAAAAAAATGTAATGGTCTTAAAAAATAGACTGCACAAATGTAATTACTAATTTTTATGGTGACCTTTGGAAATGATCTTTTTGTAAGGTTTACCAGCAGGGTTTACAGATATGAAGAAAAATTGTATGGTTGCTTATCAGTGATGATGGATGGTTTATAATGTTTTATACTGTTTCTAGTTACCTAGAGATGCTCATGAGCTAAATTACATTAGTTCAATCTCGTAATGTCATACGGGTCGAGGTTGGCGGTGCTTTATGGAGGGAAACCTTCTCATGTGGCAGCCTTTCATATGAACATGTGACATGAAACGCATTTGCTGTAACCCTTCAGATAGTGTGTCGCTGGCAGTGGGCTGTGTGTCATTTCCAGCAAACACTATCGATCACGCCCAGAAATCGACTTGTAATGAGAACTAAATCAAATGTGAAACCTGCATGAGCTCCTGAAGATTAATATTACACCAGTACAGGCCCGTTCAAAGCTGAAATGATGCCGAACAGATGTTCAAATGGAGAATATGATCATCAAGTTTGGTTCGTATCAAAATAGACACACACAAAATACTAAGACATTCTCAAATTAATGTTCATTTTCCAATTTTTCAATGTAAAGCCTGACATATGAAATAATTTTTTATGCAAGTTTATTGGACCTTTATATATTTTTTGTTGATCATATTTGATGCATCAGGCTTTTATGACTCGTATAGTATGACATAGTGAAAATATGGAGATGAAAACACCTCAATTTTATTCAAAGTCCCAAACTGAGCAAAAATATGCAATTTGGTGCAGATGCTGATATTTATATTGTAAATATCATTTGTGACTTTATATCTCACAATAACAGGTCTTACATGGTTACATGGTTTAAATGCTTAATTATGATCAAAGTTTCAAAACATAATGCAATTTATGCTCAAAATCCTGATGGATCATATGTGATCCTGACCTTATATCATCATTTATTTTTCTATGGATAATCAAGTTAACATAAGTTGCTTCAGTCCAGTAAGTGTTCATCTTGAAATATTATCAACAATAGGAAAGTTATTGCTGTTCATTTTTAAAAATCAGTAAAAACAATTCACAGGGAAAAAACACACAAACCTGAATGTGGATGTTTGTGCAATTATACTAAAAGGCCTTTACTTTACTAAGTATAAACCACCAATCAGGCATGTATAGATTGTGTGCAACTGGTTTTTCAGGAAAGTTTTGAACATGTTGACAATTTCGAGGCCTTTTAATGTGTATTAAACATGCTTTAGCTTATACTAGGGTTAGCTTTTCTCTCAAATTGCAATGCTGACAATATCATAATGAAAAATGTTGTATTGAATTAGAAAAGAAACCAAACAGAAAACCTTAAATCTTGATGTTGAATAAAGAAAAATGTTCAAATCATGTTTTTTTATTGCCCGTGGACCATTGAGTCGCCTCTGGCTCAATATGTGACTTTCATCAGGCTTGATGTGTTCAATGGTTGAATGGAAACATGCGGTTTTCGCTCGAGATGTCCTGCACAAAAGCTAAATCAGATGGTTTTGTGTTCAGTTGTCGCTCTCCGTGTTGCTAGTGTGCGCTTGAACTGAGACTTGTACTGTATCTGGTTGCCGAGGGTGTGAGAAAGCATGCTGGGACGAATATTGTTGCTCAGTGGTTGCTCTTTCCAAGCTTAATGGAGTTCACAAGTTATGTATTGATTACGTTTGTTTCAGATGTATCTCCTGGGTTTCCTTAGAAGAAACAAAATAGATATAAAACAATAGTTGACTTATTGTCTATAAAATGAATGTGGCGGAGCTCAGATCATTTGGTCCTGGGAGATTTTAAGGAGAAATGTTTGAGTTCATAATGAGAGACTCGTCTGAGACGCGTGTGGGATCATGGGAACATATGAGGAGCAGAAAACTTTACCAAAAGTTTCCATTAGACCTCCATTAACCCAGAAAAGTCTTTTTCTCAAAAGAAACACCTAAAAAGCAGTTACTGGGTAAATGAAAGTAAGAATTGATACATTTTTTAGATCTGTGTCTTTATATTGTAGACTTTGGTGTCTTGGGTATTTCTTACTTCTTAAACTCTTGATGAGACATGTGAGAGATCATTATTTTTTTTTGTTTTTTTGGAGAAGAAGCAGAAAAGCTTCCATTAGCTTTGAGAAGATATTAATGCTGAGATGTGTGCCTTTGCAGAATCTGGTGAAGTGGATCCAGAGATCGGCCGTCTGAACGTTCTGGGCTTCACTGGCTGTCTGTCTGTGGTCCAGTTTAACTCCATCTCTCCGTTGAAAGCGGCCCTGCTGTATCCAGACACGAGTCCTGTCATAGTCACCGGACCCCTGACCGAATCCAGCTGTGGCTCGTCTTTACCGACAAACCCCTACGCAGCTGAGACCACTCATTCTCTCACAGGTAAAGCCAGCAGAACTGTCACCGAAAACAGCCCCGTTTGCCCTAGTTATACGACATAACAGTCCGCAAGTAAAAATCCCATTCAGTTTCTCCATAGGAGAATTGATTTTTCAACAGTCCCTCCAGGATTTCACGATTTTTTTTTGTGATTTTTGCGATCAAAATGACTGATTTTGTGGTGGTAATTTCCAAAAAATTGTGAAAAAATTTGCGATTTATATATAACATTTACCATAATAGTATTCAGTCCTTCCAGAAAAACGCAGAGTTTTTTTGTGATTGTTGCGGGCAAAATTTGATTGATTACGCGGCCCATTTTCTTTAAAAATGCGATGGAATATGCGGGATATTTATGCAATTTTATGCGATGAAATTGCAGGAATTTGCAAAAATTGAGGGAACTTGCAAAAACTGCGGTTTGATGAAAAAGAGAAAGAAAGTGATTCCCCCAACATCCTGTTCTCACTAGGCTAATGTAAGAGTCATTTCTTATTACTTCCTTTGATAAGCAAGCATACTACATCATAGAAAGTGCTGGGAATATTTAATTTCTCATCTTGTTTTATTTCAGACTGTAACGAGTGTAAATAAGGCGTGGCCCCTTTAAGAGCTCTCTGCAGTGTTATATGTGCGCCTCGAACACCCCATGTGTGCTACTTCTTTTATCTTATGTTGTTTATTAAGTAACGATGTGACGGTAGAACGTGTGACAGACAGTTATACGAGTTCGATTTGTGAGATGTCAATCGCCTCCGTGAGTCTGTCTGGCGTCGCGTAATTGTGTCACTTCATAACATTCCCATGGAAACAGGGGGAAATGGCTGCTCTTGTGTGAAGCAAACGCAACATGTGACTTTTTTTGCAACGAAAAATGCGAGGATTATGAAATTACGCAAACCCCGCATATTTTGCACGGAAATCAGCAATTTATGCGGCGAAAGTGCAACGTATTTGAAAAAATGCGGCCCCCGCATAAATATGCGGACTTTGGCTGATTCTGCATTGAATTCAGCGATCGCATAATCGCGTTTTTCTGGAGGGACTGTTTTAACAACAACTTAAAGGAGTAGTTCACTTTTAAAAAAACGTTTGCTGATAGTTTACTCACCCCCATGTCATCCAAGATGTCCACGTCTTTCTTTCTTCAGTCGAAAAGAAATGAAGGTTTTTGATGAAAACATTCCAGGATTTTTCTCCATATAATGGACTTCAATGGGAACCAAACGGTTCAAGGTCCAAAAGACACTTTCAGTGCAAACTGTTCAAAGGGCTTTAAATGATTTCAGACGATGAATAAGGGTCTTATCTAGCGAAATGAGCGCTCATTTAAAAAAAAAAAAAAACTGGTTAAGTTTTATAAGCTCAAATGCTCGCCTTGCTCTGTTCTGATGCGCGTTTGTGACTCCCCTATTCAAACTCGTTCATCAAAATGAATGAATCTTTTCCCGAGTCAACTCGTTCATATCGTTCGTGGAATGAACCAAATGACACAAAAAAAGATTCGTTCATTTTCATAAGCGTGTTCAAACAGGAGAGTCATGAACGCGCATCACAGAACAGAGCAAGGTGAGCATTTGAGCTTATAATTTATTTTTTTTTTTTATGAGCATTTCGCTTGATAAGACCCTTATTCATCGTCTGGAATCGTTTAAAGCCCTTTGAACAGTTTGCAGTTTGTACTGAAAGTGTCTTTTGGACCTTGAACCGTTTGGTTCCCATTGAAGTCCATTATATGGAGAAAAATCCTGGAATGTTTTCATCAAAAACCTTAATTTCTTTTCGACTGAAGAAAGAAAGACATGGACATCTTGGATGACATGGGGGTGAGTAAATTATCAGCAAAAGTTTTTTTTAAAGTGAACTACTCCTTTAAAGACCTACTGTGAGCTGCAAGGTTGCTAAGCAATGGTAGATGCTTTAGTTGTTCAACAACAGAATTCCTGGTGGAAAAACTACATTACCCATAATTCAGCAGAGAATCCCATGAAACACTGCGAATAAAAAATAATCGCTCACAGACTACTTAAATATTTGTGTATGTATATATATATATATATATATATATATTTAATGTATGGGCATTTTGCAATACATGTAAAATTAATAGTTTCTATATACATAATGACCATCTTTAAATATATAGTTTTATATTCCTCCATAGAAGTTCCCTTGTTAAAGCCATTAAATGCACAGTTTTTTATCTTTTTCTATGTTGTGATTTGGTTTATGGCTTATAATGCTTTAATGAAGATTTTTTCTAAATCTCCATGAGAAAAATAAGTGGTAAAAATACCGCTGAAGAAGTGGACAGGTTCTAATGACTCAATTGGTTCATTGGTCAAAAAAATTAATCGCTTGATATTTAGTCTTTTATAGATCAACATCGACCAATTCTTGTGTCAGTATAAGAGCCTTTGCCAATGGATTAAAGCATAATGTTTTAGTGAACTGAGGATATCAACCCAACGTTTAAACTGTCGAGGCGAGGCCTGAAACTCTACACAAGTACATGAATGCAGGAACTTCAGTGCAAACCCAATTTAGCTTGTCATTGAATTTTTAGACTCCTAAATGATTGTGGATTATAGAATTTAGTTTTGAAAATATGTGCAATTTGATTTTAGATTATTCATTTGTATATTTTTGTCCATTTGAAATGTTTGGTCTAGTGTCTTTACCGAAAATTGTCTTTAAGAACCTGTACTAATAGTGGAAGGTCAATAAAAAAAGCAATAAAACTCTAAATTTAGCATTAGCATAAACTAGCAACAGTTTGAATCTTGATTATGTTATTGAATAAAACACTTTGAGGTACAAGAGCGCACTCTCTCTCTCTCTCTCTCTGGCATCTATATCTTCCTCCGACTTTCTTTTCCAAACTTTCTGGCCAGATTCCTCCTGCAAACTTTGGTCGCTGGGTCACTGAATCCATCCGCAGTGCTAATTCAATTAGAGCAATAATGATCGTAAAGGCTGATCACTGTATTAATCTGCGTGAGAAAGACCTTCATTTGCATAATCATTTCTGCTTTGGTGCTGCATGGCGTATTCAATGAGCCGCGACCCGCGAGCGATAAGCTCTTCAATCCTGCTGATGATCTGTCTGTCTCTCTTCCTCTGCTGTAGATCATGTGGGTACAGTAGGTGCGGGCGAGCCCATAGTCAATGCTATCAACAGCGACTCGGCTTTGATCGGAGGTAAATGGATGTTATGCTTCAGAGAAATACTCCGTTCCTCATCTTTTCTCATTTCATTCATTATTATTTGCTTGCTTTTTGCTCATATCCACTTTGTCTTGCTCCTGGAACAAATCCCCCAAACCCTCTTTGGTTTTACTTTGTTTGGATGGTCCTTTTAACACATTATGTTGACTATAATGTAAGTAAGTAACATTAATTAATTTTTGGTATGTTTTAGCTTACCTCAAGGGCATCCAAGATGTAGGTGTCTTTGTTGCCACAGTAGTTTCAATGTTGATATTTTTATATATTATATATAATGGAGGTCTATGGTCACCACCTTAAAGAGCATGCACAGAGAAGTCCAAATTAAACATGATTTAATGACTCTTAAATGTAAGTGCACATTGATGGCCTAAAACACGAAACGAGCGGTTTGTGTGAGAAAACCAACAGTATTTATACCGTGTTCACCTCTTGTAACCACAGCCACGTCCAAGTGATCTGAGGGCATGGACACTTTGTGGCTGTGGTATATAAATACTGTTCGTTTTCTCACACAAACCGCTCGTTTCGTGTCTTAGGCCATCAATGTGTACTTACATTTATGAGTCATTAGATCATGTTTAATTTGGACTTCTCTGTGCATGCTTTTTGAGGTGGTGACCATAGACCTCCATTATATGACTGAAGAACGGTTTGACCTAAAAATATCAAAATTGAAAATACTGTGGAAACAAAGACACCTACATCTTGGATGCTTTTGAGGTAAGCTAAAACACACCAAAAATGAATTTCAAAGTGAACCATCCCTTTAAGCAGACAGTCTACTAACACTCTAATGAGAGATTATATAGTCAACAGGATGTTCAAAAGTGACCATCAAAATAAAGTGTTACCCCATCATTTAGTACTCGTTCCAATCCACTTTTCTGAAGATGAAGGGAAATGTTTACCTGCTCTTTTCTATTCGGTTGAGCTCCAAAAAGGAAAGTTCAGCAGCGGGCAAGAGTAACGTCCCGCCTATAGGGAAATTGTACAGAAAGGAGCAGCATCAACATTGTGCTAAACGGCTCCTTTTGTGCTGAACGGGAAGAAAGTCAGTCGTACATTTCAGTTTCGTAGTAAATGATGGCAGAATTTCCATTTTGTGAGCGAAAACTTGCCCTGAATGACAAAGACGTCGGATTGTTTGTCATGCAAAGAGAACTGGGAAGCTCAGCCTCCGTGTGCATTTAAAAGACTCTATAAAGCTAATCAGAAAAGCTCTCCGGGGCCCTCAGTAATGACTGATTTAACAGCTGCATTCACATCGACTTCTCCGAAGTTATCGGTAAATAGAATGAAATTAACAAAGGCCCCCAAAACTAATTAAACATTTAAAGAAATTATTTGCTGATTAAGGGGCTTCTGCTACAATCCAGAATACACTTTGTCCTTTTCACAGCCAGCGTAATGTGGCATTAAATTGAGTTGAGATTTATTTTGGTGCCTCAATTAGACATTTCTTTTACCCTTTATAATTAAATGTGCCATGCTTAACCGGACACAAAGGAGAGAAACATTTTCGAGGCGTTTCACTCTGACAGCGAGTAGAATTGAGGACGAAGAAGCATTCACAACACGTCTGATGGTTAGCGCCAGTCCAAGGCTACTTTTGCCAACTTTCTCTCCGTTATTGATGGTCTGTATTTAACAGGTCCAGAAACAGCGCTGAATTGGCGTGTAAAATACGATTGGTTGTGACATGATAGAGGCGCGAGTCTGGATCCAGTCCTCTGACTGTCCGCCAGCTGCAGTTTCAACAGTCTGTGGCACTCAGATCCACCCGCCACTAAATGACCAATTTGCGTGATTACTTTTCAATGCTTTATGGCCTTTATTCAATTTAACCTCATTAAGTACAAGATTCTAATTTTTTTACTTGCAGTAGTTATCCATTGATCCATATCCAAGTTGATTTATCATAAAACAAATATATGGAATTTTTTCAGTTTTCATTATAAATTATATTTTTGTATATTCATTACATGTACATGAATGTGTGATATTTGTATCTTTGCATATGTATATTAATATGAATTAATATTATTTTTAAAACACATTTATATTAATGGATTCATATTTTGATATTATTTGTGTACATTTCCTTAAATTTGTATTGCAGTAATTACATCCATTATTTATAAATGATGTGTAGCCTATTAATTTAATGTATATATACGTTTAATGTATATACAATAATTTAACACATCTATATTAATTTATAATATCATCATATTGTATATTAATTCATTTGTATTTGTATATTATTTATATATATACTGTATATATGAAGAGTTCCATTTGAAATTTTCTTCTTTAATGATGATTTTTATCAAACTTGTATATTTAAGTTCAGTGATTTCACTTAAATGGCAATGATAATTACCTATTAATTGTCATTTAAGTGAAATCACTGAACTTAAATATACAAGTTTGATAAAAATCATCATTAAAGAAGAAAATTTCAAATGGCATTTAGAGGCTTTTGCATCTGAACTCTTCATATATTCACAATGTTTTTTTTTTCTTGTGCTTTCATCCAATATTGATTTATTTTGTTTGCAGTAAATATCCAAAGTTGAATCATCACCGTAAAACAAAGATATGGAATTCCTTTAGTTGGCGTTACACATATATTTGTATATTTATTACATTTATATTAATTTATTGTATATTTTTCCGCTATATGTATAATAATATCAATCAATATTAATATTAAATATGTATAATTTAAACATATTTTATTTATACAGTATTAATACATTCTTAGATCATTTGTATAAAGTTCTCTAAATCTTTTTTTTGTTGTTGCTGTTATTACATTCAATTTTGATCTATCACCATAAACCATATATATGGAATTCTTTCAGTTTTCACAATGAATTATTAATTTTTATTAATTTAATGAATGCATATTAGTTCAATGTATATACATTCATTTAACTAATTTATATTATTTAATTGTAAATTACTATACAATATATTCGTATTGTGTATTATTTGTATTTGTATTTATTATTTATATTTATTAAATTAAATGTAAATAAATGTATTGCATATTTTAGTACTATTAAAATCATATACATTTATCTCGATTAATTTCTATTTTTATTTACAATATTTTATTTATATTAGTTTATTTTTTTTATTATTTTTTTTCAAAAATTAATCTCAGTGTTATGGAAGCTTGTTTCCACCACTGAATAATTATTATTTTTTTTTTAAATAATTGTGACTTTTTATCTCTCTATTGCGAGATATAAAGTCTCAATTGTGAGAAATAAAGTCGCAAATGCGAGAAAAAAAGACAGAATTGAGACTTTTTATCTCACAATTCGGACTTTTTTTCTCACAATTGTGAGTTTATATCTTGAAATTCTGACACCTCTTCTCAGAAATGTGAGATATAAACTCGTTATTGCGAGAGAAAAAAAGTCAGAATTGTGAGATATGAACTCGTAATTGCGAGTTATCAGGCCAATTCTAAGGGAAAAAAAAACTTGTTATTCTGACTTTACAACACGCAATTTCAACTTTATATTTCGCATTTTTGACTTTATATCACGCAATTTTGACTTTATATCAATCAATTCTGACTTTATATCTCGAAATGCTGACTTTTTATCTCACAATTGTGAGAAATAAAATCAGAATTGCAAGATGTAAACTTGCAATTTTGTGAAAAAAAGTCAGAATTGCGAGATAAAAAGCCGCCATTACATTTTTTTATTTTTCATTCTGTGGCGGAAACAAGTTTCCACACAGTGTGACCATCACACATTTGGCACGTGTCATCATCCAGAGATGTAGAAATGTAGTGGAGTCCAGATCTCTTCACTGCTGTGCGTGTCTCTGTGCTGTTTTTCAGGTGTCATTGCCGTCGTGATATTTGTGAGTCTCGCCGCGCTGGCTGTGATGGCGCGATTCCTGTACCGGCGGAAAGAAACGTTTCAGACCCAAGAGCCCAAAGCGGGAAAAACAGACGACAGTCCCGAAACACCCTTTAACACGGATCCGAACTCGCAGGGCGTTATCAGTGACAACCAAAAAGAATATTTCATATGACGCTCTTTCACCTCGTGTCGGACTAATCCAGTTAAACCAACGGACTGAAATGCCTTGTCGAGTCTAGAGACAGTAACATTCACGGTGCATTATGGGAAACCGTCCGTGAGACTGTCATCCGACGGGGCGGCTGAAAAGAAGCGACGTGTCCCTCGGTTTATGCCCTTTTTGTACATAAAACATTTATTGTCCAGAGGTTTGGCACAATAGTACGGTTTCTAAGGTGTGTATGATGACATTCTTTGGTTGTAAATATTCTTTTGAAATGAAACTTTGTAACGTCACTTTCTCCTTCTGCCTTTGAACGATTCAGTGCTCAGTATTACGTTTAACGGAGTTAAAGAAGCGATCATTGTATAACTAAATCCAAATAAATGTGAGTTGGCGAGTGTGATGTTGTTGTGAATAGATGCGTTCGTGCAAAGGACTTGAGATTTTGTGGAAATGCACAAGGCTGTACACTCCGTATTTATCACTCTTGCCGTTTTCCCGTGCTTTTTCTCGATTATTTGCCATTTGGAACAAAAAAAATACATCCTATGACAGTTGTTTATTGTGGACAAGCTTTGTCTCTGGTTCTTGAGTCTTTTTTGTCTCTTAATTCATGCACGTATTTCTATACGTTTTTATGAAAGAAAATAATGTAAAGGGGTCCTATTACGCTTTTTCACATGTTCATCTTTCTTCAATATGTAATGTTGCTTGAGCATGTTAAAGGGGAGTTATTCAGTGTCAGTGTTTCTGAACTCCCTGAAACGCCTCCATTGTAGTCTCGAGTTTCTTCTAGGAACGAACACGTAACAATATTCCTCATTATAATAATTCAGAATAAAGGGGCGGGGCCTGGTTGAGTGAGTTAATAGTGTGTTAAACTGGTGGTTATGGTAAGAGACGGGACATTTCCCAAACACACTCAAAGTGCTTGACCAATCCAGGGTGGCCGCGGGTCATTAAAAAGTGTTAAAATGTCTTAAATCAATTTTCCTAAAAAATAAGGCCTTAAAAAGTATTAAATTGTCTTAAATTCAGATTGGATAAGTCTTAAATATGTTAGTCATGTCACCGCAAAGATGCAGGCAAAGGCAATCGTTCTGCCAGCCAGGTCGAATATTTATAGAGTCATGAAAAACATCCGTCATTTTATTCATAAAGGACAACTTTCAGTCTGCAAAATGTTTACTTATTTGTGTGTAGGCCATACACGCATTAAAACACAATTTTAAAAGCTAAACATATTTATCCAACCCAATTATCAATTATCAATCCAATTATTTTATACGGAAATCAATTATTTATAATTCTTAAAAGTTAGGGTTGATTAAAATTAAGGAAAATAAATATATTGATCTGAAATATAGCAAATTCATTTTAATTTATTAATTAAAAGGTACAATAACCAAACATATCTCAGTCTTTTTTTTTATCTTTTTATTAGTTTAATTAACAAACTAATTATATGAAACTATTATCAGTACACTATAAATAAACTGGTTTTAATTTATATTTCCATCGTAAGTTTGGTCTTAAATTTAATTTAGAAGTGGTATTAAAAAGTCTTAAAAAGTCTTAAATTTAAATTGTTTATACCTGGAGCCACCCTGCAATCACAACACACTGATCCAGCCGACCAATCAGAGCACAGTGTGCTTTTCAGAAGGAGGGGCTTCTACTGTTCATGCCATATTGTGATTACAAGATGACAACACGTGACGTCACTCGGGGCAGTTCATGTCCTCAGACTGGGAATAATGCATTTATTTAGCGACACTATCAATGCCCACATGAATCTATGGAAGCTTGTTTCCGCCACTGAATAAAAAATAAATAAATAAATAAATAGTTGCGACTTTTTATCTCACAATTGCGAGTTATGAAGTCAGAATTTTGAGAAATAAAGTCGCAATTGCGAGATATAAAGTCAGAATTGCGTGATATGAAGTCGCAATTCTAAGAAAAAAAGATAGAATTGCGACTTTTTATCTCACAATTGCGAGTTTACATCTCACAATTCTGACTTTATAACACATAATTGGGAGTTAATATGTCGAAATTCTGACATCTTTTCTCAGAATTGTGAGATATAAACTCTCATTATATAAACTCAATTGCGAGTTATCAGGCCAATTCTAAGGGGGGAAAAAGACTAACTTTTTTCCCCCTCAGAATAGTTTAAATCTCACAATTCTGACTTTATATATGCATTTCTGACTTTTTAACACAAAATTGCAACTTTATATCTCGCAATTCTGACTTTATATCTCGCAGTTCTGACTTTATATCTCACAATTCTGACTTTATATCTCACAATTCTGACTTTATATCTCGCAGTTCTGACTTTATATCTCGCAGTTCTGACTTTATATCTCGCAATTCTGACTTTATATCTCACAATTCTGACTTTATATCTCGCAGTTCTGACTTTATATCTCACAATTCTGACTTTATATCTCACAATTCTGACTTTATATCTCGCAATTCTGACTTTATATCACGCAATTCTGACTTTATATCTCGCAATTCTGACTTTATATCACGCAATTCTGACTTTATATCTCGCAATTCTGACTTTATATCTCGCAATTCTGACTTTATATCTCACAATTCTGACTTTATATCTCGCAATTCTGACTTTATATCTCACAATTCTGACTTTATATCTCACAATTCTGACTTTATATCTCGCAATTCTGACTTTATATCTCACAATTCTGACTTTATATCTCACAATTCTGACTTTATATCTCGCAATTCTGACTTTATATCTCACAATTCTGACTTTATATCTCGCAATTCTGACTTTATATCTCACAATTCTGACTTTATATCTCGCAGTTCTGACTTTATATCTCACAATTCTGACTTTATATCTCACAATTCTGACTTTATATCTCGCAATTCTGACTTTATATCACGCAATTCTGACTTTATATCACGCAATTCTGACTTTATATCACGCAATTCTGACTTTATATCTCGCAATTCTGACTTTATATCACACAATTCTGACTTTATATCTCACAATTCTGACTTTATATCTCACTATTCTGACTTTATATCTCGCAGTTCTGACTTTATATCTCACAATTCTGACTTTATATCTCGCAGTTCTGACTTTATATCTCACAATTCTGACTTTATATCTCGCAGTTCTGACTTTATATCACGCAATTCTGACTTTATATCTCACAATTCTGACTTTATATCTCGCAATTCTGACTTTATATCTCGCAATTCTGACTTTATATCTCGCAATTCTGACTTTATATCAACCAATTCTGACTTTATATCTCGCAATTCTGACTTTATATCTCACAATTCTGACTTTATATCAACCAATTCTGACTTTATATCTCGCAATTCTGACTTTATATCTCACAATTCTGACTTTATATCTCACAATTCTGACTTTATATCTCGCAGTTCTGACTTTATATCTCACAATTCTGACTTTATATCTCGCAATTCTGACTTTATATCTTGCAATTCAGACTTTATAACACGCAATTCTGACTTTATATCTCGCAATTTTTACTTTATATCTCGCAATTCTGATTTTATATCTCAATTCTGACTTTATATCTTGCAATTCTGACGTTATAACACGCAATTCAGACTTTATAACACGCAATTATGACTTTATATCTCGCAATTTTTACTTTATATCTGGCAATTCTGATTTTATAACTCAATTCTGACTTTATATCTCGCAATTTTAACTTTATATCACACAATTGCAACTTTATATCTCACAATTCTGACTTTATAACTCAATTCTGACTTTATATCACGCAATTCTGACTTTGTATCTCGCAATTCTGACTATATCTCAATTCTGACTTTATATCACGCAGTTCTGACTTTATATCTCGCAATTCTGACTTTATATCTCGCAATTCTGACTTTATAACACGCAATTCTGACTTTAAATCTCGCATTTCTGACTTTATATCACGCAATTGTGACTTTATATCTCGCAATTCTGACTTTATTTCTCGCATTTCTGACTTTATTTCTCGCATTTCTGACTTTATATCTCACAATTCTGACTTTATATCTCGCAATTCTGACTTTATTTCTCGCATTTCTGACTTTATTTCTCGCATTTTTGACTTTATATCTCACAATTCTGACTTTATATCACGCAATTCTGATTTTATATCACGCAATTCTGATTTTATATCTCGCATTTCTGGCTTTATATCTCGCAATTCTGGCTTTATATCACGCAATTCTGACTTTAAATCTCGCAATTCTGACTTTATATCTCGCAATTCTGACTTTATATCACACAATTGCGACTTTATATCTCACTATTCTGACTTTATATCACACAATTGCGACTTTATATCTCACTATTCTGACTTTATATCACGCAGTTGCGACTTTATATCTCACAATTCTGACTTTGTATCTCGCAATTCTGACTATATCACGCAATTCTGACTTTATATCTCGCAATTCTGACTTTATATCTCGCAATTCTGACTTTAAATCTCGCAATTCTGACTTTATATCACACAATTGCGACTTTATATCTCACTATTCTGACTTTATATCACGCAGTTGCGACTTTATATCACGCAATTCTGACTTTATTTCTCGCATTTCTGACTTTATATCTCACAATTCTGACTTTATATCTTGCAATTCTGGCTTTATATCTCGCAATTCTGACTTTATATCTCGCAATTCTGGCTTTATAACACGCAATTCTGACTTTATAACACGCAATTGCGACTTTATATCTCACAATTCTCACTTTATATCTCGCAATTCTGAGAAATAAAGTCAGAATTGCGAGATGTAAACCCACAATTGTGAGAAAAAAAGACCGAATTGTGAGATAAAAAGTCGCAATTACCTTTTTTTATTTTTCATTCTGTGGCGGAAACAAGCTTCCATATGAATCTGCAGCGGTCATGCAGTCGAAGCTCTCTGAAAATTACGAGTTTACAAGATCTACGAGGATGTGAATGCATTTTACAAGTTGGAATATCATAATTATGGTAATTAGTGTGAACATACCTGTAGTCTCTTGTAGAGAAAGGAAATAAACAGAGCGATACTGACAGACTGGGAAGAGACGAGCTGCAACAATGGTGAATATGGGAAAATAATGTGTTCTTTGGACATTTAAGCATCAAAAACTGTTCAAGTAGATCCCAAAAACAAATTCAAGATACTGAAAAAGGCCATAATAGGTCCCCTTTGAGACAAGACGGTAAAGCAAACAGTGCATTTTGATTTCATGTTGACTAAGCTTCTCCAAGACCAAACTGAAGTCTGCTGGCATATTTGAAAGGTGTTTTGTGCTTTCTGTGATGTTTTTGGTCAAACCATGTGACGCTAAATCATGTTGTCAAATACTTGAGCAGCACACGAGCCACAGGGTCATATGTGAACAAAGTTTCTCTGGCAGCCTAATGTGAAGCACAACACACTTCATGTTGACTTCCACTCGGCGCCGCTGGATTTTTTATTTTTTGAAATGCCTTTGATGGGATTTGAAAGAAATGACGTACAGAAGCAAACTGTGAGACTGACCAATGCTGACAGAGAAAAG